TGAACAATGTGTCCAATGAGTTCATTGATTTTTACTCTAATATTCATCAAGAAAGAGAAGAGTCAATTGAGCACTCACAGAATTTTATTCTGAAACTTTTACTCCTGAGAGACTAGAGGTTAAACTGGAAGTGTCCATAACAGGGAAACTGATGTGGCTAGAGCATTTCAGCTAATATGAACTTCTCAAGGCATTAGGAGGTTTATATTCTTGCTCTTTTTAATCTACCTAATAATCCACAAAATCCATGTGTAAGAATCATGCCTGTTTCTTTATGATTCCTATAGTTGAATTATAGGATATTAAAATTATTCCCACTTTTCAATTTTCTGACCCTCTGATCTGATTGGGAATGGCATGGACCCCTTCAGAGGTGTGTGGGTCCCTCATTGCTGGCAGGATCCGAGTGTACTCTACCCTTGAAGGAGAATCCAGCCATCGGCCTAAGACAAACTCAATGAACTGTAAGCTCTCTCACAGTGTTGAGATACAGTGTCTTTTCTCTACCTTAGAATGCCTTTCTTTTCCAGTTTTGCCTGTCCTACATTTACTCTCTCAGTTCTGGTTCATGTAGCATGCTCTGCAAAATAATATTACTTCTTATGAAGAGTCAGTGAGTGTGTATATGTTAGCTCAGTGATTGACTAATACTAAGTGCTCAACTTTTGGTTTTGGATATCTCCACAGGACTGAAGTTTGCATTAATCTTTTCTAATCTCGAACAATATTTGGATGTGTTGGTTGTGAAAAATAGCATTGTTGTGGTAATATATTTCTTAAATTTCTTCATGTCCTGCGTCATCTTTATCCTTATTGAAGATTGGGATAGAAACTCCCTTTTATTTTTGTTCCCCACTGTTTATAGACAAGGGTTGAACACATGCTAGGTAGTCAATGACTGGATAGCGTGAGTGTTATAAAGAAGAGTCAACATAATGTAGTAGTTTTAAATTATCTTGTTACCCCAATTTGCAAATCATGTGTATGACTTTCTAAAGCCTTATTCTTCATTTTTCTCACTAAAAAGTGGGGTACAAAGTTCCCACCCTGCCTTTCTACCTTTTTGTTTTCTTCTTGCTGTCCAGAGACTAGAGCAAGTGCAAAGGACCAGGCATCCAGTGCAGCTATGCAGCAGGTTGACTCAGCTTTGTCTTTATTTGCAATTTAGCAAGTTCGCAATGGGAAGGGCAATTCTTTAGGGGACTATTCTGATGTGTGACATTTTTTTCTCTGTCAAATTACAGGCTGCCATGACATTCAGTGCAGCAGTTCTTTATAGATTGTAAGTATTAAAACTTGCTTATATTCCAAATGAGTACATGGGAATTTCAAGTTTCTGGAAAACAATGGATCAACTTAGTCCTCTATTAGGACAGTGCTTTGGGGATCACCTGCAATATTCTGGTGCTATTCGATACCACAAGAGGAGAAGTTCCTGACTCTGACCAACATAAAGAAGTGTGTCAAAGTGACTGTAAGTGCTTTTATTTGATAATGACGTGATAGTTTGGAGTCAAATCCTATAACAACTGTTTTCTTCTTATAAGTTCTACTTAAGCATTCTGGTTGAAATGTAAACTCCACACACTATTTGGTCCCTGCTCCACACAGTTGACAGAATTATCATTCTAAAAAAAAAAAGAAAGAAAACTGGAACCACAAGATTCCCTGGTCCCAACCTAAATTGTACAGCTCAGAAATCAATGCCTTTTACCACGAAGCCCCAGCTGCTCTCTGTTAAATTTACTCAACAAATATTGATTTTTTTGTCTACTGTGCACCCTCACTTTGCTGCCCACACCTCTGGTTCCTGACTTTTCCTGAGATATGTGCTAAACTCTCGTGTCTGTCTTTGCTTGACCAGCTCACTCTGTCTGAAATTCAAGTTCTTCTAGGTACCTGGCTAAATTCCACCTCTCTATTGCCATTTCAAATATGAACTCTTTGTGCCAGCTGGGAGCATGCAGTGCTCTGCTGGAACAGACTTCTAGCCCATCCTTCTCTCCTAAAATTGTGCCCTCCTGGGGGTGAAGAACCATGTCTTTGACTTTGGAGTCTCCAAACACTTAGCTCATAGAACTGAATCTAACTAAATATTTAAGGATAGAATCATTAAAACTGAATCTAACTGAACATTTAAGAATAGAATCATTAATTTGCCACGTTTCGTTTATTCATGTCAATTGCCAAAAGTAATAAGGTAAGATGGGACCAAGTATTTATGGACTGATTGCTTGGCCCCTTCTAACTGTGGCTTCAGCCATGGATTCCCTCAGGATTAGTCAAGTTTCAGGGTTGGTGAAAACAAAGCCTCAGAATGCAGAAAAAGAGATGTAAGAATTTTCATTATAGATGTCTTAAATTTCAAAGTAATAATATTGTATTTTTAACCTGATGGGATTATATTTATTTATTTTCTTGACATGCATTTCCAAAGCAATAGTCTACATAACATATATAAAAGCTACACATAAAGTTTTTAAGTAATTTCATCCACAAACTAATAGCTATGTATAAAAGACACCAATAACTAGTTGAAAAGTAAGGAACCTCGTTGCATCGATCTTCATAGGAGTCAAACGCTGAATAGCAACACTCTTGAGACCCTTTCCCCTCTCCACCACCCTGAAATTCAGTTGATTTCTTCGACCCTGTGCTATGGAAACATGCTGCAGTTTCCCCTTCTCTTGGCTTCATCCCCTTCAATCTTTCTCTGGCAGGTCCTGTCCCAGGGCAGTTGGCTGGGAGCATCCAGTCAAAGGCGCGCTCTGCTTGGTCTTAGGACCCTGCACCCTATTTGGCCTTCTTACTCTTCTGTGCTAACCGGGACCCCTAAGGTGACCTCTAACAACTCTCCTTGGAACACAGAGCAGCCCTTAGGTAACCCTACCTAGCTTTCCTCTGAGACCTGTCCTGCCCCCTGACTTAGAAAATTTTCTTCCCTTGGCTTCCCAGACAAAGTAGTCACAAGTTTAGAAAGCCTCCAAATCTCCTTTCTAAATAAGTTTTGTTCCTCTTCCTAAAACGTATTTCCCACACACATGTCACGTAGAGAAGGGAATAGAATTTTCTTGTATTCCTTGTCCTGCAGTGGTATTCTTTCTAGCCTGTGTCCTTGAAGCAATCAAGAGAAAGGTGACAAACCATCTCTTTTGCCTTTTATGGTTTTGAAGCTATCAAAAATTTCAAGTACATACATATTTTTATAAATTATTCCAAATATGCTAAAAGCGGTAAGTCCTATGTTACCTTAATGATACGTATTTTGTCACTCCAAAGCTTAGCTTCCACACCTTGTAACTCCATGGGTTGTCATGGAGTAAACACTCACTTTTACACTTCTCAAAAAATAGAGCATATATGCAAAGAGAGCAGGTGTTTGTGAAAAACATTAAAAGTATTTATAAAAATCAATGACATCAGCACAGAGTGGTAATGTCTAAGAGGCAAAAACAAAAGCTTTTATAACTTCAACAGGCTCATTAATTTTTCTGTTAGTATTTTTAAGAAGGGCACATACTTCCATGATCGAGGACTATTAGTTATTTTATACACATTTTTATTTATATATCTGCTTACTCAAAATGAATGTTTATAGATAACACTATTTGATGGTACTTTGTTCATTAATAAGTAGTACTTTTGTATCACATTTTCCTTATTTTGTTTTGTGGCATTATAAAATTTGTAGTAAGGAATTATCAAATCAAAGTAAAGGAAGAAAGAAAACCATAAATTAGAGAGAAATGACTTTAATTGAACACAATCTACTTATTTTGCATATAACTTAGCCAATAACAATTGAAATTATTTAATAAGTGGGTGAGTAATGCAGTTGGTAATTATTTCCTATATAGTATTTTCTATAAAGGGCAAAGTAAACCAGGATAAAAGGAACAATTTGGAAGAAAGTTTAATTTTGGTTACATTGCAAATGCAATCTTCACTCTTTTACTGATAGGAATTTATCAGATTTTAAAGGGATTTGGTCCCAGTTTTCACTGTACTTGTCTATGAGAGGAAGGCCTAGGCACATTGAGTGACCAGCTTCATGTTACATAGCTCATTGGAAATGAGCTGGGACTCATCCCAGAGAATTCCAACGTGGGGTCCAGGACTTTTGCCAAATAATCTTCAAAGTAAAATACAATCCAAGTTGAGTTTAAATGTTTGGACTCACTATACTTATGATTTTCCAATGCTTCCTAAAGTATATAGGGAAAAATAAACTTAATAAGTACACACAACCTTTTAAATTGAATTTTTAGGCAGAATGTATTTGGATCCAACTCTTAGGCCAATAGAGGAAGAAGATTCCACCCAAATCTCTCTCTCTCTGACATCTCTGTTCCTATGTTTCTCCCTCTAGCTCTCTCATTCTGCTGATCTCACATTTCCCAGGAGTCTTTGGGACGAGGGGCCTCTTTCATTTTGCTATGGATTTACGACAGTGTGATGGGTAACAACATTTCCCTCTCCATTTGGTTGATTACCGTGTAGACGTGAAATAAAAAATTACAAGAGATGCGTATGTTGATGAACGTGCACTTAAGGTTAACGTACATGTATGACTACGGGTTGCATGTTTAATAGGTGTAGCTTGAGATTAAAGCATCTTCAAAAATTACTGCTTCTTGAGTAGTTGAACAGGTAGTCTTATATATTTATTACATCATAATTGCTGCTGATACTTTAAATAATATGGTAACAACTTTGTATAGCAGTACAACTCGAGAAGTCATGTGTAAATATTGATCATATTATTAAAATAATTTTTAAATGGCAAAGAAACCAGACTCACACCACGATGTATTTCAAATTTCTTACTGGGAATTGTAAATAATAAATGATTTCAGTTGGACAGGACACAAAATAAAATTATTTTAACCATTTTGATTTTTTCCTATTTTTCTTCACCTTTCAAAGATGCAACATTTTTATATTTGAGTCAAAAGTTCTAAAATTATCATTACTCAAAAAATAAAAATGTATAAACTTACGGCCCTGATGCTTTCAAAATGTCCACCTTCTTTCTCGAAATCAATAGGCTGTCCTTTTAGCGTCCAGTAGAAAGTGACATCCAAGCTGGCATCATGAAGTGCTTTGCAGTTAAGGACAACACTTTCTCCCACCGTTAGCTCCATTCTTTTAGGAGTAAGTTCTATCCTTGTAGGTTCTAAGGGAGTGAGGCACCTTATTTAGCACAATCAACAAGCACTGTTTCCCTGCATCCTCTATCATTTTAAATAACAGAGGAAAACTTAAACAAGGACCCTATACAGCACTAGATACACACACACTGCAGATTTTTTACTTCTTTCAACTATTATTAACTGAAATCGTACCTTTCTGGATATCTTGCTATGTTTTTGTAAAGGACTGATGATTTTGGAGCTCCTGTTCCTATTAACGCATAAAAACATCAAGCGATGACAAAACCAGAAGCAACAATTTATGTTTTGGAAAAGGAACAATAGGGAAGAGAAACTATAGCCTCTCTGACCAAATTTAAGGGTCACCAAATGAATAAATGGGTTTTTAGGATTCAAGCAAAGCTGCATATCTCAGAAAGAAGTATGCAGGGGATTTCACTTCCTTAAAAGCTACAGGAGGCTGTAAGGCAAGAAAAAGCACCTCCCTCGAGATTATTATCTCAATGGAGATAAAAATATAACCTTACCACAGTGCTACCTTGTGTTTACTCTGTGCTCCACAAAAGCCTCTCTGGAAAAGATGTAAAATAGGCACCTTGTGGCAGATTATAAAACATCGCATTTGATAGATTGTGCTTGGTTTAATTGAGTTATATAAGGGAAAAACACTGAATAGAAATGTTTTTTGAATAAAAGATGTGTTTAATTGCTTAATGATTCAGTTAAATTTGAAACAGACCATTTCTATGGCTTAGTACAACTCTGAATCAATAAAGGCCCATAGAGCTGTACCTCTAAGGGCTGAGCCGGTGACAAGTGGATGCAATAGGATGTGGTTTGAATAACGTAGGGAGGTGATGGACTCATGGTTTTATCTTTTCTTAATTAGATTACTGGGTAAACAGAGTGTGAGAAGACTGACCCAGTGAGTAACAATTAGCTTAATTTTCCTGTCTAGCTCCATGGCTTACAGGAGAATAGCGCCACTCCTCACTGCCTATCAGATCCTTTGAGATCCAAAGTCCTTCTATTTTTGAGCAGTTATTGAGAAGAAAAGGGCAGGAAAGCAACTACAAATATTAGCATTCTAGAGCCCAGGTACTTCAAGATCTGGATTCATCAGAGAAGACAGAACTACAATATACAGGAATAGCGATTCTGAGTTACTGCACAGTCCATTTAATTTGCAATTAACAAAACAAGTTTGTGAATTCAGCAGCATTACCTCATTGTAGAAAGACTGATGAGCACATAAAAGGAATGAGAGAAACTGGGAGACTGGGTTGAATCCCAATTTTGTACTATATAAATGAAAACATCTTATAAATTATGCACTTTTCTTCCATTAATGTTTGCCTGTCTCCTAAGCTATCCGTGTTGGCTTCTTGAATTACACTTTTATATCTAAAGACAGAGAAAAAGGAACAGTTCCATGTTTTACATGTACAGCTTATTAGCATTAAGTACATTCAGTGTTATGTGTTATCACCACCATCCAGCTTTCATTTTCTAGACATGTTTTCATTCCTGTACCTAAATTTTTTGATATTTTTTATAGCCAAAGTAGGATTTGCTGTATATAACATGCACAATGAAGAAAATTAATTATTTTATAATTTATTAATAAATATTAATAAATTTATTAATTTATTAATTAATATTAATAATTATACTCAAAATAAAAATTTACAAAATTCCATGGATGCAAACATCAGTGGGCATCTCCATTAACCAGTTTATCTCATGTGCTCACTGAGATTGCCTTTCTACTCCAAATCCCTAATTGAACAAAGGAATATTCCTGACTGATGCTAACATTATTTTTGGTACAGAGAATTTTTTTTTCTTACGGAATCAATGCCCCATGCATGCTTAGTCAAGTGCTCTACTAGAGCTGCATTCCCAGCCCAGGCAGAAGAAAAATATTTTTATACTCTTGGCATGCTTCCCCATTTTGAGACTGAATAAAGTTTTAAAAACTTTCTTTGTCCTCTCCCAAATTTTGTTCAAAGTAAAATATTCAAATTTCTACCAATGATGGGTCCCTCTTTTTTTGTTCTCCAAAATGATGGAAAGTGTCCATTTGGCTGTCTAAGTTGTAAGATTGTAATGCGTAATTTACACGTGGGCATGCGCACTTACGCGCAAACAGGTGCACCAGCATGTCTTATTCATTCTCTGACAGGGCTGTGAGACTATGCCTGCGACACATTCAGCCACGTCCTCTTACCTTTTACAGCTACCGAAGCTATCAGTTCAGCAGAACCGAAAATGTTTTCCCCTTTGCAGACGTACTTTCCTTCGTCCGATTTAGAAGCATTTAGGATCCGCAGACTGCCGTCTGGAAGAATAGCTATTCTGAAAATTATTAAAAAAGGTTTTTTTTCTTGTTTTATTTCAAATCAACTGAATGTTAAGACACTCTGATGAAGTCTGAAGCCACTTGTAACGTAATAATAAGGAACATATGCTGTGATGGGGAGATGTTGTTCCCCTCAATACATCGTGCCATAGGCCTGCTTCCTATCTTATACTCAAAAGCGGAAGGGAGCCACAAATTATTTTTCTTGACAGTTAATTTAAAAACTTGTGGAGAAAGGTGACCCTGAATTCAGTTACTACAACTTGTTGCTGTAAATATCACCTAGCAGTATTTTAATATTAAGCTTGGATATTTCACCTCAAACCAAGAGTGACCTCAAAACTCAAATAGAAAAAGAAACAGCATAAAACCACAGACGAGGACAAGAGCAGAACATAAAATTAATTGTATACAGCCAAGAGCTGATTTATGGCCGTTTCTCTGTATTGCCAGGGGTGCGCCAAGGGCATGAAAATGTGACCCGCTAACCGGGCCGCTCTCGCTGCGCTTCGGAAACACAAGAACGTGACAGCTCTGGTCTCCCAAGACCTTCGGGAAAAGAAGACCTTCAGTTTTATACAAAGGTGAAAACCCTGAAGAATTATTAAACATTTTTAAGAGTTCAGTGAAAATGAGGTCGACATTTGGAATCACCATCTTCTCCTCTGCATTTATCATCGGGATTTGTGGACTTCAAGTTTAATTAGTACCTGGGTCCTTTTCTAACCTTCTGTGCCCCTGATGTGTGACCTATGATTTCACCTGTGCATTATCGCACACAAGCAACCTGGAACAGGGCAACTGTCCTGTTTTAGAGGACTTGTCATTTTAGGAAACGGGAAGAGGCTGTGTTGCACAGATCAGAACCAGTGACTCCACTCACCCTAAAATACTAAAAACTGAGTCTTCACATTGCTGAGAGTAGCTTTCTCCATGTCAATATGATAATGCTGAACTATTTAAGATTCAAGAATATCACTGGGAGGCTATTTGATTTTTTAAATTGTGTGCTTATAATTAATATCTGATTAAAAGTTTTAGAATACATAAAAGTTAAAAATAAAACATCTTTTAAAAAAAGTACTGAGCAACAGAAGTGGAACACAAAATGATTGTGGGTCTTTCATGAAGGAAAGTGTGTCAAACAAAATCCGACTGGCGCCTTGACAATTTCTTAGATTTTTTTTTGTTGTTGTTCTTTTTGGGATACTGGGCAGGATTGTAGGTTTTGTTTAGGAAATACCCTATTTTTAAATAATGAGTCCTTTAATCTGGAGCAGTATCTTCTCTTTTAATCTGGAGTGATTCTTCAGTCTTTGTCTTTCGTAATCCTGACATTGTTTTGGGGGACAGGACCTCACTAGGTAGCCCAGGCTAACCTTGAATCTCCAGCTCCCAGTGCTGGCATTGCATGCATTTGCCACCACACCCTCTTATTTTTGAGAAATTTTTTAGAAAAGATAAGGAAGACTAAGTTAATAAAATTCAAGTTCAGAAGCGATGCATTGGAATGGTGGAGGCTTGTAACAAATTTAGGAAGTACATTGATGGCCATTTATTTTGCACCACTTGTAATTTAACTTAGCATGTGAGAGTCAAACTATGCTTTACTTTCCAATTGTGGTCCTTTTAAATTGTGCGGTTGAGCAATCATGTTTTCAACAGGTCACATTTAGAAATCTAGAGAGGTTTTGTTTGTTGTGGTTGTTAGTGGAGTAAAGTAGATTTAACTAAAAGAAATGTTTAAAATCTTAGCAAGGTTTAGATAAAATTCCTTGTTATCTAAAGTGTGCATTTAGTTTTACCAGTTGACAGTTATTAAGAACATTGAACTTTGTAACAATTTATCAATTGTTTTAGATTAGATTGTAGGCTATTGAGGCATTGCTTATGCATTTATACTCACATATTGTCATTAATAAAGATAATGATTTAAAAACATGATGCGGTTTTCAATATGAATGAAACTTGGTTTGCAATATGTAAGAAAGAAGATGAATTTAGAGATGAGCCAACTAGGAATGGAAAAGTTCATCTTGTCGTTCATGTCTAGGAGACATTCAGGAAGCAGTGCTTGTGAAAGTGACCAATGAGAAATTTTGTTCATTATTCAGATAGTGCTCATGTTTTATAAAAGTGGAATATGAGCTTATTCCATTTCAACCCCAGTGATATGCGTGCTAAAGAAGATACTTGAAAGCAAAAATTTCATTCTTTATAACCGCACATCCTCTTGTAAGAGCTGCAGACTACAGGAATTTATTTAAATTACTATAATTAGTGATGATTATTAATATCCTGAAAATATCTGAATTTTACCAGACATTTTCTTCTCTAAGTTATTTTTAAGTGATACATAAAAATGTAAAAATAGTACATATTAACTAGGTCTCATTTCTTTGTGACACTCAGCAGTAAGGACTTGTGATCATTTTCTATTGCTGCATAACAAATTACTCCAAACTTGGCAGGTTAAAAAGTATCTCCTAGCGAACTCAACATCTATTCTGTCTTTAGAAGTGAGGGGAGGCTGTTAGCTGGGCTCTGCTCAAAGTGCTGAAATTGAGGTCTGTCCAGGGCAGGGTCTCATCTGAATACTTTATAGAAGAATCTGCTTCTGAGTTTATTCTTCTTTGGGCAGAATTGATTTCTGGGGTGTGCCCCTATTTCCTTCCTGGCTGTCATCTGGGGCCTACTCCAGGTTTAGGAGTGACATATAACCTCCTCATCCAGACAGGTTTCTTTTTGATATCATAAACAAGTGCATATCACATCATAGAACCATTCATAATGACCACTATAAGTGCTAAACTTAGTGAGTGTCCAGTTCAGTTCAGTGCCTTCGTCTCTCTTCTCAACTGAACAAGTGCTACAAAACATCTAATTAGTTCTTTACAATTAACTAGACAGTATACGTAAATTATTGTACTTTCATGTTGTGTGAGAGACCTACTCTAAAACTGAACTGAAAAATGTCAGGAAGTTATTTAATGCATACTCCTCACCTGTTCAGGACATTTCTCAGAAAATAACATTTGAGGTGAGAACTGAAGGATGTCACACTGCCCCTCATCCTTCAGGGTGGGAAAACAGAGGGAATAGCATTTGCAAATACCCTGAGGTCAGAAGGACCAAAAGAACCAAATGATCAGTTTGAGTGGGACAGGGAGTAGCACAAGGTGAGATTGGAGAGGTAGGGCTTGGTGTAAGGTGAAAATCAGCTGCTGTTTAAGAGTAAAAATTTTAACAGCCTTATTGACTTGTAGGATAAGCATGCAATAAAATAGCATTTAATAGCACGTACTTTGAAAAGTTCTCATACATGGACGGGAAGCCATGAAAAGATTACCACCATTGCGATAATGAATGTGTGTGTCACCCCTACAAGTAGCTCTGTGCTCCTTTGCATTCTCATCCTCCATCACCAAGACACCACTGAGTTGCTTTCTGTCCCTTTAGTTTTCATTTTTCTATTATATAAGTGGAATAATACATTATATATTCCCCTTTATATAGTTTCACTCAGAATAGCTATGCTGAAATTTATCCATGTTGCCGAAATTATCAAGAGTTCAGTCCTTTTAACGCTGAGTAGTATTCCATTGTGTATATGTACCACAGTGTATTCATTCACTTCCCCGTGGAGAGACGTTTATGTTGCTTTCAAATTAGTAATATTTATAAACAAAGATGTCAAAACTACTTATGTACAATTCTTCTGTGGAAATTGTCTATGGGGACAAATATTTAGAATTCCAGTGACTAGATCATCAGGTGAATGCAGAAGCTGCTCTGTCCTTGCTGCGGCTCTTCCACTGCCCACACTTAGCAGTGCCTGAGAGTTCCTGCAGCACCTGTTATGCCAATCCTGGCTCTTGTAACAAGTCGGATAGGACGTCATTGTGGTGTTAGGATATAATTCCCTAATGTAGATTATGTTGAGCATCTTTTCATGTGCTTAGGTGAAGTGATCATTCAAATACTTGGGTGTTTTTATGGGATTGTTTTCTTACTTTCAAGGTTTGATAGTTCTCTTACAGTCTAGAAATAACTTCTTTTTAAAACAAGTATGAAATGTACAAATATCTCTCACTAGGTTGTCGCATGTCTTAACATTTTTCTCATACCAAAAGTTCCTAATTTTTATGAAATCCAATTAATTTTATTTCATGTAAGTCCTTTTGTCATTACTAAAGACACATAGATTTTCTATGTTCTAAACATTTTACTTTTTTATGTTTGAGTTATGAATCTTGATGTTTATTTTGCCCATGGTATCTGATTGTACCATACTTTTACTTTTAAGAGATTATCTGCTATAGACTGAATGTGTACCCCCAAAATTTATATAGTGACACTGTAATTACCAGTGTTGATGACATTTGGAGATGAAGCCTTCAGGTGGGAATGCAGGGGAAGCTTTTGTGATGGGATTAGTGGTCTGACAAGAGGCGAAGTGAAGAGCTTGCTTTTTCTCTTTGCTCTCTGCCATCTGAGAAACAAGATGACCATCTTCAGAGTAAGAGAATTCTTACAGAATCTGACCATGTTTGCACCCCCATGTGAGGCTTCCCAGCCTCCAGAATTGTGAGAAATTAATACTTATGCTACCCCGCTCTCCTGTTTCCCCTATCTTTGCATCACTGCCAAAAATCAACTGGCCTTATTTGTACAGATCCATTCTTCTCCGTGCTGTTAACCTGTTGTTTTGACTGTTGTGTCCTTTGCATTTCCTTAATTTCTGTTCAAATCTCATTACTTGCTATCGGTTTGTTGAGATTTTTTTTCTTCTTGATTTAGCATTGTAGGTGGCAGATATTCAGGACTTCATCCATTTCTTGCAAGTTGTCTAGATTTTTTAAGCATATAATTGTTGATAATTTTTCAATGATTCTTCTATTTTTGTGATATCAGTTGTAACATCTCCCTTTTCATCTGTGATTTTATTTGGGTTTTCTCTCATTTTTTCCTTGTTAGTCTAGCTAAAGGTTTGTCA